GAACTCATGCGGAAGCAGCCTTAGATTCTCAGTGCTGTGCTTTAACCCGCTGCGCCACCAGGGAGGGCCTCTATAATGCTTTTTAAAAGCATCTTTTAAAATATTTATTTATGCCTACATGAACTGGGGTACAGGCCAGAGGTGCAAGGGATGAGAAGATTCACCAGAGAAAGAGTGGGGAACAGAACAGGTGGATTGACTGAAATACCCTCCTGAGAGGAGCAGTGAGTGAGACAGAAGAGATCTGCTGTATCATATGGGTCAGTTCCCTGGCCAGGGATCGAACTCATGCTGCAGTGACTGTGGATAGCTTCACAGTGCTGAGACTTAACCCTTTGTACTACCAGAGCAGTTCCTACAGATATAACTTTTAAGACAACTACATATATGTTCATGTTAATTCAATAAGTCAGTGGGCTTTATAAAGCAATAAACAGGAAATAGCATAATGAAAGAATCTTCATTCTTTTTATAACTAATTGGTACTTAATGCTAAGATGCACATTCCTCCTACCCCCATTACCAGTAACTGGTTTTCCAGCAACAACAGATACAAAGAATTCTGAAAACCAAAACCCAGATACCTTGATTTAGATGTGTGGCCTCCATGATCTGAACCCCATTCACGGAGCATTGAGACCCACTCAGGGGTATAAGAGTCACAGTTCCCCCAACATTTTCAAAGATACAATGTTCACTCTCCAAGTCAAGACCATGAAGAACTAAGAAAAACAAAGGAGAAATTGTTTTCTTTGTATCTAATGCAATGATCTCCAAACTTTATTTTTTCATTTTGAACACTTTTCCATGTTCAATTCTAAAATAAACATTTATTTTAATGAAGAAATTAAATTTGAGGTGTTCATTGTATCAACTGATAGAACCAGAAGTATCTTTTAAATGTTACATTAAGGGGTCCAGGGATGGCCTGTATAAATTGTGGGATTTTAACTTCACTTTCTGAGGGGAATAGTTGAGAAACTTGTTTTCAATGAACAAAACTGAATCATTCTGATTCTGAATAAACTTCCACCACCAGTTACCCAGAGGTCACAAAAAAATAGAACAGAAGGTTCCGGGGGCCAAGACCTAAATGTGATCTCCAAACTTGCAGACACTGGGTTCTGAAGCAGAAAGCTAAGGTGATTCATGCTATCTCAGAAGACTAAAGGGAGCCTCCCACAGCTATACTGGGAAGTACACTGCACAGCCTGCACCACTGATCTCCACAGACCTCTCAAAAGAGGTGTCTGCACGGGTTTAATGAATCACCTATGACCATCCTGAGTTTTCTTGCTTAATGAATAATCAGGCATAGATGTGAATGCCTATCAAATAAACCTACACAATTTTAAGTCAGTTCTTGATCAGCCTGTCAGCAGAACAGAACAAACAGTTCTCTCTGTTCTCCACAGAAATGCACTACTGAAGTTGTCTGTTCACAGAAAACTATATATTATCACTCACTATCATTTATAGCAACCACAAAGGTCATACATATAATTTAACAATTAGAAGAGGCCTGATGCCCAGTTTTACTTAAAAACAACTGAACTTAAGGACTTGTGGGAAATGCTTTTCAACTCTTCTCATTTCACGAAATTTTGTAAATATACATAGGAATGTGTTAGGTTGGTTTGATTAATTAACTTACACATGGCAAGAAAATAAGTTCATCACCAGCAACTATAAAATAACTAAGAAGATACAAGCTTCCCCTTCCAACTCCCATCATTCTATATACACGCCACCACCACCACGAAATTATCTTCTTTTTCTAACTACTCCAATATCAGTCATTCAAGATGAAGCTCTTCATTAATTATGATTTTTAAAAATCATCAGAAAACAATGAAGATTCTCACCAATATCTTGTTCTGTTGAAGCATCTTCTCTACCAACATATGTCTGACCTTCCTGGGAAGAAAAGGCAAGTAAAATTTTTAGTAAGAATATGAGCAATCTGTTTCTCCAGTTTCACTTAGCTCAAGCAACCAGGTGTCAATGGGCTGAGCAGTGGGCAGAGAGGTCACAGCCTCAGTGCCATGAGAGGTATCTGAAGCTCTATAACCCCACCCAACACTGTCTGGGAAAGGACAGTAGAACATGTCATGGCTCAACAATGGTTAGGCTCCTCTGTTAGCACAAACCAATAATTTGCCCATCAAAGCAACCTCACTGATGTTCCTGATCCTTTCTGAAGAGTTTTTCCTTCATTGGCCAGGCGTTCATATGTGTCTGACTACATAATGTATAGGAAGCCACAAAGCACAAAATGCATTACTATTCTCATTTTACATCATGAATCAAAGAAAGAATAATAAAGTCAAGACTACAGCAGCAAATACAGATAATGATGTAGAAATGTGGTTTTCTTATGTAGGAACAGTCTGTTCAAGCATGGTCAATACTGCAGGTAGGTGAAATAACTTCATAATTAATACTACAAAGAATGTACAAAGAACGTATATGTATAAGAGATCTCAGTTTCAGGTACTTGTGACTTTAACTCCTCAGTCTGTCTGCCTTTGTTTATTACCTCCTTCTTACTGGTTCTATAAAATAGAAGGCAAAGCGAATGGATCTTCATTTAGTGTTAGAACTACATAAACAAAGGAACTTCTAATACCATAGAATTCCAGTGCACTGATGAAAATCCCCAAAGGGCTTTAATGCGGTGGCTGTATTCATGGATGTAGAGAAGTGTAATAAAACTTGCTAGTGACTAAGGGAAAAGTTAAAATAAAAATTAGAATGCTTCATGTAAGCAGTTTCTACCTTTAAGTGATATAAGATGATTCCAGTACTCAGAAGGTCATCATCAATGCCAATCAGATGCGGCAGTTCAGAATCCAAAACAACCCCAATTCCTTCTTTCCTGAGTGCTAGAGTTTGTTCCTGAAATAAGGAGGGGAATAAAAGGAAAAAGGTTACTTTGGGGGAAAATAAACTTCATATCGCATTCTATAAAATGTTAAAATGGGCAATATTTTATGTCTCATCAAAAAAGGGGGGACAATCAAAATGGACCCTAGATTTCATGCTGAAATCCTGGTAGATATTCCTGGTAGGAATATACGGCTTATGTCTTTATATAACTTTATTTCACTTAATAACTAGATGACTCCTTATTTAGGCTCTTCCCTCCAGTTACCTGATCAGACTGTGTATGTTCCATAGAGAAACCCTTCCCTATGTGCTGCTTCCCCTTCACTGAGGCACAGATGATTCTGACCTGGGTGCCATTATCATGACTGTCCCTGTCTGTATAAAATCCTACCACCATTAACCACCACCTTCTCCTACAACTCAGCTCCACTAATTTTTCTGTGAAACTCTTGAGAAAATTACCTCTAAAGAGTTTTCTATACTTGTGGTTCTCCATCTGCATCCCCGTACTGTCTCTTGAAGCCTTCTCCATGGAGGCTTTCACATGGAGTTCCATGGAACTCTAGTATCTAAATCACTCCTTTCATGATTTCATCCTGTATTGTAGCTGCAGTCTATATGATGATCACTCTCAAAAATCTAAATCTCTTGACAAACTTCTCCCTTACACTCCATACTCAAGACACATACGTCAACATACCTATAGGAATGCCAGACTGGCAACCCAAATTTAAAACATTGAAAAAACAAGCCTTGAGTCACCCTGCCTCTCACACTTACAATCTATCCTTTCTTAACAAATGCCAATGTTCCTTCAGCTGAGTGGACCAAAAACCACAGCTATACTTGCTTTCTCTTGCTATGCTCTACACTCTACCTTCAAAATATATCACCAAGGGCCTCCCTGGGTGGTGCAAGGGGTTAACTCTCAGCACTCTAAAGTGGTCTGCAGTCACTGCAGCATGAACTTGATCCCTGGCCAGGGAGGTAGGCGACCCATATGGTGCAGCAGACCTCTCCTATCTTGCCCACTGCTCCCCTCAGCAGTGGATTTTGTCGACCTGCCTGTTGTGCTCCCCACTCTGTCTCTAGAGAGTCCTCTCACTCACTCCCACACCTCTGGCCTGTACCCCAGTTCTTGTATGCATAAATAAATAAATCTTTAAAAATATATCCCCGAGGGCCCTCCCTGGTGGCGCAGCGGGTTAAAGCACAGCACTGAGAAGCTAAAGCCACTTCCGCATGAGTTCCATTCCCGCCTGCCCCGGAGGAGACCACATGGCGTGGCAGACCTCTCCTGACCCGACCGCTGCTCCCCTCAGCAGTGTACTTCGTTGATCTGCCTGTTCTGTATCCCACTCTGTCTCTGGTGAAGCCTCTCGCCGCCCCTGCTCCTCTGGCCTGTACCCCAGTTCTTGTATGCATAAATAAATAAATCTTTAAAAATATATCCCCGAGGGCCCTCCCTGGTGGCGCAGCGGGTTAAAGCACAGCACTGAGAAGCTAAAGCCACTTCCGCATGAGTTCCATTCCCGCCTGCCCCGGAGGAGACCACATGGCGTGGCAGACCTCTCCTGACCCGACCGCTGCTCCCCTCAGCAGTGTACTTTGTTGATCTGCCTGCTCTGCTCCCCACTCTGTCTCTGGTGAAGCCTCTTGCCACCCCTGAGCCTCTGGCCTATAGCCCAGTTCTGTATGCACAAATAAACAAATAAATAAATCTTTAATATATGTATATCCCCAACCTAACCACACTCCTCCCTGGAGTATGCTCCATGAGATTTTCACCTTGGACTTGCTTGGAAGTCTCATTCTGCACTTTGCTACCAATGCCACCTTTCCCCTCGGATCCTCCAACAATCCAGGCTACCCCCACTCCTGGCAGTCCCCAGGCTCAGGTCCCCTAAATGGTCTCTCATTTCACTGAGATGAAAGTAAATGTCTTTCTGAGATCCTACAAAGCTCCCAATGACCCTTGCTAGCCTCCCACTTGCTGCTGTCTAGGATTCCACTGATCCAGTTGTCCTCCAAACTTCCACCATCTTAGGGCTTTCGTCATTGATTGCCTTCTGTCATTGTCGATTCTGTCTATTCCCCTAGGACAGGATTTCTCAACTTCAGCACTACTGGCATTTTTGACCATATGATTTTTCATTCTGAGGCTAATTTTTTTTTACTTACTTATGTATACATAAACTGGGGTACCAGCCAGAGGTATGGGGGATGAGAGGAGTCACCAGAGACATAGTGGGGAGCAGAACAAGCAGACTGACTGAAATACACTTGAAATACATGGCTGAGGGGAGCAGTGTGTGAGACAGGAGAGGTCTGCCATGCCATTTGGGTCACTCCACTAGCTGGGGATCAAACTCATGCTGCAGTGGCTGTGGCCAGCTTCTTAGCGTTGTGCTTTAGCCCACTACACCACCAGGGAGAGCCTGAGGCGATGTTTTATGCACTGTAGGATGTTTAACATTTCTGGCCTCTACCCACCAGATACCAGAAACACATAACCATTGCCCAGGACTGTCACAACCAAAAGTGTCTCTAGATACTGGCAAATGTCCCCAAGTAGCAGATCTGCCCCAGCTGAAAACTACCCTACCCAACATACACACAAACATAACTGGGTTCTCACTTCCTCAGATCTCCACTCTAAAGCTATCTTCCCCATCACAACATATAAAATAATAATCACAAACTTCCCTTATTCCAGTTTGTCTTTCTCCTTAGCATTCATCACTATAAGATATGTCTTATACAATTTTATTACCTGTCTGCTGACTAGACTACACTCAGTGCCTAATTTCATGTGTCATATAAAGTACTTCTTCAATATTTGTAAAGTGAGTAAATGCATTCATAGATCTAGGAGTTCATGTAAATTCAGGGAGGAAGTTAATGACATCCCATCAGAGAAGAGAGACTGGTAGACCATAGCTTCAGATCAGGCCCTACTGACACAGCAGACCTGCAAAATGAGACTTCCAAGCAAATCCAAGATGGAAATCAGACAAATTCCAGAAGACTGAAAGTTTGAAGTTGAGCCATATTGAATTCAAAGTCACATTCAAGTACACAACATAGTGCTGCTCTAAAATCACAGGTGTGATGGAAGTAATAGGCAGGAAATTTCCAAGCCACTAGAGGGGTTCTGGTTAAAGACAATCCTAGTGATTCTCTTCCTCACACCCAATCCTATAGCCATACAGAAGTGACTGGGCTCAGCTCTGTAACTTCAGTGCCCAATGCTGTCTGAAATATATCCATACTCCTCATATCCCATGAATAAATGTACCATACCATTCAAATATTAAAAGAATGTACAAAATCTTCCATACTCTAGGTGAAGGGTTCAGAACTTCACAACCTTGCAGGTTAGGGAGCTCCTAAGAGGTTCTGGGCAGGGGGAGTGGAAAGAAGGTGACTATCCCACCCCGCCATTCTTCATCTCTGTAGACAGTTGAGTCTCAAGTGCATATATTGCAGAATGGTGTCATGCAAGAGGGTGACAGAATGAAGAGGCAAAAAGATGTGTTAGAAAAAAAAAACATAAAAATCACCAGTTGAAAGAAACCAATTTAATTTCCCAACCATTAAAAAGATATGCAGAGAAAATGACCAATACATAACCTAGATTCAAGAGAAGGAAATGAAGCGAATCATTGTTCTTCAATTACTTCTCTTATCAGCCAGGCTCTCACTGCAGGGATCAGAACCTCAGGCCTCCAGGTCGACGCTTCAGTAATCTTGATTTACTACACCAAGGCCCTTAAAAATCTCAGCTGAAATGAGCTCTCTAAATAAACCAACCCCTACTCCTACCTCTCCTATACTGATAGACTTCATGCTTTTTCTCCTGCCCACAGAATTCAAACAAAAATGGGAAATATGTGATTTTTTAAAAGATATATATTACAGTGGAGAATTTAATTACACAGCTCCGTTACATGAAACAGTGTCCTGAGTGGAAGGTCAGAAGCTACAGCACCCACACAGACCATGCAGTGTTCCAGGCCTCCAGGCTTGAACAGAACAGGGGAGTGACTATTCTCTTAAGTCCAGAGACATATGTATTTTCTTTTTGCACAGAAGTGGAACATACCACTCTCTCCCATCCCATAAAAAGCAGTATTTTAAACTTCTATAACTCTTACTCTAGAAAAATGTTTTGGATTACATTTCAGTTTAGTTTAGTAGTCCTTATTCTTTAACCACTGAAAAACACTTTTTATATCCTTCTTTGAAATGAGTCTCAGATTTTAAAAATCACTTGAAATTCATAACTTTGAAGCTCTTTGATCAAAAGCATTACTGTTAACACCAATCCGCCAAACTCATGCACACGCAAACACACTTACATGCATAAAATGGGTAAAATCTGAGTTAAGAAGGTTTCCAGGATTGATAATGGAGACAGATGAATTTATGATTAAATGATGCCTTCAAGCTCTATGACATTCAAGCTGCATTCAACTACATGATATTATAAAAGTGTCACCTCATGAAACTAAAACGAGGGTTTAAATCATTGCTCAACTGAAAAAGTAATTTCAGACAAAAAATATCTATCAGGTATAAAATATTTATTGAGTGGCACCTACAGTTATACATAATTTATGAAACACCTCTTTGATAAGATGGAATATTTAACACAGCAAGGACAGCTATCCGAAACTCTTGACACATCAGTTCCCAAGGAAAGGAAGTGGTAAAATAGGTGTAGCTACACATATTATGGCTTGAAACAAAGTTCTTGGCAACCAATATTTGTCTGAAAAAGAAACCATGGTCTGACTAAATCTGTCAAAAAAAAAAACAGTATTGGTTTATTTTCAACATTTTGTAGATTAAATTTGCAATGTGATTGATATGTTTTTCTTCAACCTCTGAATGCAAAATATGGATCCAGTGCCAGGGCACACCATCACTTCTGGTACATTCCAGCAGTTCAGGTGTATTGTAGGCAGGGCTCACATGCTTTATAGATGAGCACATGGAAATAGGGC